ATCTCTGCTTCTTTTTCAATGATTTAATTTTGTGCTCAGTTGAACTCAACTCTGAGCCCATAAGGCCGTTCTCTGCAAATTTAGGAACATATGAAATTCAGTGTGTTCTGTATTGCAACATAGACCTCACTATGTGACTGCTGCAAAATAAAAAGATGTGTATTGAAAAGATTAACTGAGACATACAATCTACAAATCTCTTTTTTTCGGCAAAGCAACCTGCTCTTCAAATTCCATTCACGGGAATAATGTGGATTTCCTGATTTAGTGAGCCATTTAGACGTTTCATTCACTCCTGTTTTACTGTCTAGCCTTGCTGGCATTTCATGAAGCAGTAACATATGCCACATTACTCCCAAAGACATCCCCTTTAGCCTTATAGAACAATTTAAGGTAAATATCTATGTAAACAAAGTATGTCAGGCTCTCACATTGTCTCGTGATCCTCATGTAGAAAAAAAGAACATTCACATGCATATCATTACACTGCTACCAAACATTATACCAATCATTAGTATGGTAGTGTAGTCGTATGTAGATTTGCATCCACTACTACGCTCTGCATGGGGCTAAAAGTTAGGCCCATGTTAGTTAGTAATGGCACCCTCAAGTGAAGAACAGCTGTAACTTACATACTGAATGAAAAAAAGTTAGTGTATGAAGAAAACTGTATTGTGAACCCATTCTTTATGCCCAGAAACTAAATGTGATCATGATTAGAAAAATGCCATAGAACTTGTTCTGATAGGTCTGTGACACTGGGAACAAGTGGTGACATTTTGTAAATTTACAACGTGGATCGACTTCTTTTTTTTTCTTAAATGACTTTTATTCACAGGCAAATTAGGATTTTATTAAACTCACCAGTGTGTGTGTGTGTGTGTGTGTGTGTGTGTGTGCAAAACAACATAATATACACAGTGGAGACAATACAGTGCAACAAACATGAAAAATAAAACTTACAATAAACACAAAAGAGAACACAGGCAGTACACGGTACTGAAGAATATGTGGAGTGCAAAGCAGGATGTAACATACTATAAAATACAGTATTAGCAGATAGCCAAGCATATATGAGCTTAGCAGTCACTGAGGTAGCAACCAGAACAGCAACAATGGAATATAGTATTTGGTTGATACAGTATTCTAGCAGCTGATATGGTTAAAGAAAAAAAAAAAAGTAAAAAAGTAGTCAGATATATCAAAACTGAAAAACTGCCCCTCTGTGTCTAGTTCTGAGTGACTGGGCCTTTTTACACCCTGCATTAACATGTGATTAGGTGATTGGATCATGTTTGTTTTTCACTTAAATACATGATGTGACAAGTGTCTCACCCCCCATGGTGATTGAACCAGTGATCTTCTGAACAGAATACATAAGTGCTAAGGGGTGAACTACTAGTCTGACATGAGATGGTAGGACTGAACAGTAGAGCAGGAATAGAGGAAAAACAAAGACTCGCTAAATGAGGATCAAACCAGCATCCCCAGGTAGTGAGGGTGAGTGTGTTACCACTGAACTCCTGCGGCAACGCTGGAAAGACAGCAGGATTGATAAACAAGAAGGGAGAGGACAAAGGCCAAACAAAAGAAATGCCAGGACAGCGTCTTCAAACAAAAGGGGGTTTCTACAAACTACAGTGGAAAGGAGCCAACACAAAAGGTGGTAGAAGCTGGGAGTTTTAACCCAAAAAGGACAGAGGTCCCAAGTCTCTAACGAGAGAGTAAGAGATACCCGATAATTACCGGCTTGACCAAGAGAGCAGCATTAACTCAAGACTGAGCACTGCAATTTGTTGGTCTGCATCCTGTAGCGAATCCAAACATCATGGATGGAGTCATGAACCGATGTCACTTCGACAGCTGGTGGGAAGTTTTGTAAAAAATACGCCTTTCAATTTAGCCACTGCTAACGTAGCTAAGACTACTAATCCAAATGGAGCCTCTTCTGGAAGAAATGTCAGAAAAACCTTTCATATTACATACTATTTGAAACAAATGTGCAAAGATTTGTTGACTTGGTGTCTGTTTCTCATGTTATTTTTCCTAAAGACACACAGTTATATCTGGCTTACTCAGTAGATAATTACAGTCCAATAGACTCACTGTGTCAATGTTTGAAGCATATAAATAACTGAATGAGCCACAATTTCCTCAGTTTGATAAGGACAAATCTGAGATGTTTGGCAACAAAGAGAAGAGAGTTAGTATTAGTGAACAACTCAATTCTGTGAAACGCTGGTGTTCTAATAGACTCAGTTATTATCTTTACTGTCCTGTCAAAGCAATCACCAAAACAGACAGCCTTCTATCATCTTAAATATAAAGCTAAAAGCAAGGGTTTGGTGTCCTGGTAAGACCTAGGGAAGCTCATCCAGCTTTATCTCCAGATGGATGGACTGCTGTAATAGTCTTATAGTCTTAGTTACAGAATAGCTTTTAAAATGGTCCTACTAGTCTATATATCACAGAATGGTTTAGACCCAGAATAAATCTCTTATATATTTAAAGAGTATAAACCAAGTAGGTCTCTTAGATCCATGGATACAGGTCAGCTAATAGATCCCAGAGTTCAAACAAAACACGGTAAAGCAGCATTTAGCTGTTATGCTGCTACAACCCTATTGCAAGAATTTTCAGGTTCAGGTTGCAAACATTTCTCTTTTCATGTGCCTTTTTCATGATTGATGATGATGTGCCTATAACTCTATAACACTTTATTTTTTTGTGCACTTTTGCCTTTCTCTTAATTCTCTTTTATTTTACCATAATCTTAAAGAACTTTACCTTCTATAAGTTTAATTTAATGACTCTTTGTAACGGTGATCACAGAAGGTAGACGCTTGCGGATAAAGGAGTCCAACCAGGCTTTAATGTTGAAATCAGAATCCAAACTCGTAGTCAAAAAGCAGGCAAAAATGTCAAGGCACAAAAACAGAGAACCAAAGCAAACAATCCAGGGGGGTAAACCAGGAATCAGAGTCGTGGAAACGAGAATACAAGTCATACACGAAAATTAACACCATAGAAATAATGCTCAGTAGTTCACGAATGAAGCAATACCTCGCAACTAACTATTGCTAAAGCCCGGGCTTATAAGCTAGTCTGAAGTAGTCATTTGACAAAACATACAGGTGTTACACATTAAAACTCAGGCGATCGTGAACGCTGATAGGAGCGAGTGTGGAGATCAGCAGTCAGCTGATCTCGCTCTTCACTCTGGGAGATGTAGTCCGTGTGTGGAATGGAGTCTGTAGGCAGTGAGGAGGTCATGTGATCTCCCAGAGGATTCTGGGAGATCGAGTCCATAGCCTCGTTGGTGGTATTCGTGACACTCTTAAGTATGTTTCTGCCTTAATTCTCATTTATATTGCACAACCCCATTTTCAAAAAAGTTGGGATGCTGTGCAAAATGTAAATAAAAACAAAATGCAATGAAATCATTTAAACCCTACATTTCATTGAAAATAGTACAAAACAACATATCAAAAGTGGAGCTGAGAAATTTTATTGTACTTTTGAAAATATATCTGAAAAAAGTTCAGCGTGCTAGCCTTCTTAAAAGACTGCTTTTTCTGGGAAAAAAATGCTAATGTCTAATGCTAACTAGCAGTGAGCTGTCATACACTATATGTACAAAAGTATTGGGACACTGCTCCTAATTATTGAGTTTAGGTGTTTAAGCCACGTCTATTGCTAACAGGTGGATAAAATTAAGAACATAGCCTTGCAGTCTCGATAGACAAATATTGGCAGTAGAATTGGTTGTACTGATGAGCTCAGTGACTTTAAACATGAAACTGTCACAGGATGCCACCTCTGCCACAAGTCAGTTTGTGAATTTTCTGTCCTGTTAAATCTGCCCCTGTCAACTGTAAGTGCTATTTTTGTGAAATGGAAGCAGCTAAGAGCAACAGCTTAGCCACAAAAGTGCTGACGTGCACACTGCCTGTCCTCTGTTGTATCACTTACTAAAGAGTTCCAAATTGCCTCTGGAAGCAACATCTGCAGAAGAATTGCATGTTAGTAGCTTCACTAAATGGGTTTCCTTGGCTGAGCAACACAAGCCTAAGATCAAAAGGCAATGCCAAAAATAACTCCTTTTTTGTTGTGTTTTTTAGTTTATTTTCAAGCAGTAAATCCAACATATTTTAATAAATGCAAAGAAGAACACTGTTGATCGCTGTTTTAATTTTGTCCTTTTGTCACCCCAATAAATTCAGTAGGTCTAACTTGGCCACCCCATTGTGAAAGTTTAGACTAGGTCCTTGAATGGAGGAACGATCAAGAGTAATCTTTTACTCCACCAGTCATTGCGCAATATGTAGTCAAACGGTTATGCACTTCACTTGTGTCAGCATGATACAAGTACACTAGCAACACCCTTTTTACACAAATAGGATACCATAACGACAACTTAGCTACCACCTGGAAAACCACTACTAACTATCTAGCAACCACTGGAAACACCATTGTAATCCCCTTAAAAACACTCCAGCAACAACCTTGAATACAACTGCTTGAAAAAAACCCAGCAATCAGCTGGGGTCCCAAAGCAACTGGCTAATAAAACTTCAGCAACCACTTAGCAACACCTCAGCATCCACATGGAATGCCATCTCAACCAGCCTATCGGCTACTTAGCAGCAATAAATCAATGAAAATAATCCCTTAAATGTAAAATAACCTAAAGACAACTGGACACAGATTAACACAGCATAAACAACTCTCTACATTTAACCATTAGATATAGAGTGTGTGGTAGAATAGATACAGAATGTGTATATAGAAGTGTGTAGTCAAAATTTGGACCTGTTGGTTGATCCTGAACATTTAATAGGTTAAGCTGGGCAGGTTTATGGGGCCTAGGGTCAAGTTAATCTACCCCTGCATGGCATGTATCTAGCTTTGTGCTTGCTGAAGATCATTTCTCAGCAGAAACAGCTGTGTGGTTTTCAACTCGTTCAATTCTTAGAACTAAACGGAGCACAGAGAGGAACTGAGTGTTGAGAAATTTTCTTGATAGATAAAATTTGTCCCTCATTATTAGCAACAAAACCATCAGCTCTGCAGCTCTGACCTGAAGCAGGCATTGACAGGTGAGTCATTTTCATTCAAACATAAACCAGGTGTTCTTTATGCTGGTTTAATTAAGCTTTAATGATGTAAATTGTTGTTCTGTGTAAAATGTGCTATATAAATAGATAAATATATATTATGCACAACAGCCAATGACAGTAGTGGTCTTTAGCATACAAAATCAGAATATACAGACTACAATTACATGTTTAAGCTGTGTCTCTATTGGGGAGATCAACATCAGCTTCTCAGTTTGTCTCTGCACAGTTGAGTTTGACTTCATTTATTTGATTCAGATGTGAGAGTTCAACAGTACAGCTGCCAAATTTCAGTGTATAATGCAGCAGTGCTATAAAACTCACAATACATACCCTATATGTATAACAAGTTGGATGTAAACATTTGTACTTCCCTAGTCAAATGACAATGTTGTATTGATTTAGTTGACAATAAGCTAACACATCCTCTACAGAGAACACACTTCTGCAGGTTTTAATGCACAATTACTGTCTACTTGCTGAATTTTACATGAATTAAATTAAATAACATTGTGTATGAACTGTGCAAACGTTATGCCAAATTATATATCTTTTTCCTAAAAGGAAAAACTTAACAAATATGTAATATTTTGCACAAATAAATCATATTTAATTTAAAATATTTTAAAAAGTTGAATAGATAGAACTTTTATTTGCTCCTTTCTCATCAGTACTCAACAGAACTACACTTATCTGTGTTTAATGTACAGAATCAAGAGGCATCATGAATTCAACCACAATGACAGAACAAGAATATCCTGACTATACGTACACGCCCTACACGGTGAATCAGACTACAGATTCACCACCTTGCGATGCAGTGTGTATTTTCTATGCAGTAACTAATGTGATCATCATTGTCCTGGGTGTTGCTGGAAATGGTTTGGTGATCTGGATTGCAGGATTTAAGGTGAAGAAGTCAGTTGTCAGCACCTGGTACCTGAGTCTGGCCGTGTCTGACTTCATATTCTGCTCCTTCCTGTCATTCAGGATCATTTACATGATCAAAGGCGAGTGGCTCTTCGGGCGCTTCATGTGCAAGTTCAGTTACTTCATTGTGTTCCTCAACATGTACAGCAGCATTTTCCTCCTCGTCATCATCAGTGTGGACCGCTGTGTCATTGTTACGTTTCCTGTGTGGGCTCAGAACAAGCGCACTGTTAAAAAAGCCTCTGTGGTAGTCATGCTAGCCTGGATCATCTCAGCAGCACTTAGCACACATTCAGCTGTTTCCCTTGAATTGTTCAAGCCCAAAACAGTTTTTTACTGCACGTACATTAATTTTCAAAATTATATTGCGGCCATAGCATGCCGATTAATTTTTTTATTTGTGATCCCATTCCTGATCATTTTAATTTGTTATATTGTCATCATACGAAAGCTAAAGTCCAACCAGATGGCAAAGTCCAAAAAGCCATTCAAGATCATGACAGTTCTGATTGTTACTTTCTTGATCTGCTGGCTGCCATATCACACTATTATTCTGATGGATTTATTCATGATATATGATGATTCATTGGACACCGCATATGTGTTTAGTCTCATTCTTGCCAGTGCCAACAGCTGTCTGAACCCATTTCTTTATGCATTCATGGGAAAAGACATTAAGGAGCAATGTTATGCTCTTTGGTTGAAGATTGAGAATGCAGTCAGGGAGGAGGATGACCTGAACACCATCCAAGGGACAGCTTACACCACCTCTGGGGAAAGCAGACATTCAACTAGCATTTAGTTTTTACTGAGTATCACAAAAAGGACATCTTAACTGCTAATGGACCAAACATAATTCAGATTCAAATTCAGTTAATTCTTTGATTCTTGCAAAAGTGTAATTCAAACTTTTTGTCTTTACTCAAATATATAAAAAAGCATTTCCTGAACAGTAAAGTTCCACTGAGGAGAGCTTTCCCAGATATGAGCAATGCATGGGAGTTGTAGCACAGCAAGCTCTGCCCTGTTATGTGGTGCATTGCATTTTCCTACATAGGCAGGACTTTAGTGGTGATCATTCTGAATTATTAAAAATTCTCTCTTGAGGAAGAGAGGAGGGGAATCAGCAGCTCCTTTTCTCTTCTTTGAATCCACAAGTCTAATGTAGTAATGGGGATGATTTGGATGTATTTATATGTCATTGCTGAAGGAAGATTTTGAAAGGAAAATTTCATAAAGTTAACACCTAATTTTTACTCATATGAAGCTCTGAGGTTACTTGCTAATGAAAATGGCATGCTACTTACTTAGTGATTCAATGCTGGGCCAAAGAAATTTCACTAAGGCCTTGTATTGGATGAAGATACAATCTGCATAAAAATTTATGCTAAGAATCAATTCATGCTAGTAATCAGCCTGTTGAATAAAACGGAGGCACTTAACCTCTGTTACCTGTATATTTACCTGGGGTAAAATAAACACAGTAAAATCACTTACTTGACTTACTTGACCTCAGCTTCTGTGTCTTTGTTTTTTTTTGTTTTTTTTTGCTAAATTTGAACCAATGAAGCTGCTCTCTGCAAACTGATTAGGAGCAGATAACACAAAAAACAGTGCAATGAAATATTAATAATTTTTCTGGAGCATAGCAAATTGATCAGATGACGACCATCACTGAGTAACCCTGAGTAGTGACCTCAAAGATCTTTTTTTATTATAGATTCAAATGTATTCAGTGACAAACTCAATTCCAAAAAAGTTGGAACAGTAACTAAAATGCAAATAATAAAGCATTTATAAATCTATTTTAAGCTGTATTTGAACCAAAACAATGACAAGATATTTAATGTTCTTTATTTTATCAACTTCATTGTTTGGCTCATTCAGAAATTGAAAAATGCAACACCTTACAAGTACAGTATGTTTGGATAATGTAAGATTTTGTGAACTATTCCAAAAACATTTTAAACAGTTTTGGACATAAAAGGAGCATCCAGTAAAGGTCATATGTTTTAGGAGCCAGGTTGGGTTGAGGCTCGCCACTTTACCAAAATGCATCAGCAACATATCCAACAGTTAAAAAAGCAACATTCCCTCAGCAAAAGATAGAAGATAATTATGGCCAAAAGCTAGAAATAAATGCCTGTGACCTTTGACCTTTGAAATGGCACTACATTACAACTAGCTTGTTTTTGTGATGGATATCACCCAATTTGCTCAGGAATACTTTAGCTGCATCCATAAATACATTACACAGTGGAAGTCATATGTCAATAGTGTTCAGAAACACCACTGACTTCTCTGGGCTTGAGGTCATCTGAAATGGCCTGATGCACCTTGAAAATGTGCATTGTGGTCTGATGAGTCAACCTTTCAGATTGTTTATGGAAATAACTGATGTCCTCCCTAAAACAAAAAAGTAAAGGACCATCCTGATTGTTAGTAGCAGAATGTTCAAAAGCTAGGTCCTGTCATAGCATGAGGGGATATTCTTTTGTATCCCTGCCAAATGCACCCATGTTCAACGTGACAACACCAAGCCACATTCTGCTTGACTTACATTAGCATGGTTATGTAATCAGTGAAAGCTGGGGCACTAAACTGGCCTGCCTGCAGACCGGAAGTCTCTGATTTAAAATAGTATAAATATGTAATAAATCTATCTTATTAAGCTGAAAATATGACATCAAAAGCATCAATATGGTTGTACAGCTGATGACCTATATGACAGAAGAACAGCAAAAAATTCTGCTATCAAAAATAGATAGTTTGAGTCATTAGTCCCGAGATGATTATTAAATGCTGTTAAAAGGACAGATGATGTAACACAGTAAACATGCTCCCAGCTTTTTTGCAACATGTTGCAGGCATCAAATCTGGATTATGCTTATATTTGTAAAACCAATGTTCATTTAAATTGTATGTTTTAAGTATGCCAAATTCTCATGATATCTAATGCTGTATGTGTCAATATTACAACACAATATTATAAGCAGAAATACTGTCATATAGTATATTGTACATATGCGGTGTAGACAAATTCATTACCCATTACAATGGCAGTTTTTATTACTCTCTGTTTGTCATTGAAATTATTATTTTGATCTGCATGCTGCTAAAATATTTTAGCAAAATACCTGGTCCCAATTCATATTGTTTATTATAACTATGTAATTACACATTAACAATGCATGCAAAACAATGTAAGTACTAGCAATATACCCCCTGGGTAAAACTGAACAAAAGTGAGAGTTTTAAAAAGATCTCAAGAACGTTAAGGAGTAACAATCACCTGTAAAACTTCTGTGTAATAAACAGAGGTTTTGTTCAGTGAATAAATTCAGTGAAGATTTTGACACTAATGTTTTTTTTTACCATGTTAATGACACAGTTACAATGCATTACACTATATTTTTGTAACATGGCTGCAGGAATTCACTTTGTCTTCAGCCACACAAGCAGTAATGAGATTGCACACTGATGTTGGGCAATTAAGCCTGACATTTATCTAAAAAAGGCACTACATTGACAATGAAGTACAATTCTTGTGTGTATAGAATTCATTGTACAATTATATTCTATTATGGATGAACTTTGTAATAATTTAAATTCTTTATTAGAGAGAAAAGAAAGGTGCAGGGCACAACTTTCAGCACTGTCCCTGACTTCTCTGCTGAGATCTCTCCACATGCATCCTGTTGAGGCAAGAAGCAGATACAACTCTTCACTTCTTACCTTCTACACCTCAAGCTCAACTGTACACCAACTTAGGTCTTCCTCTTCTGGGCTCTTGGCATGTCCCTACATACATCTAAGCATGCCTGTAAGGTTAGGTCTTACTGCTTCAGTGTCTTGGCCCCTCAGTGGTGGAACAAACTTCTCCCTAAACTTTGCACTGCACAATCTCTTCATATCTCTAAGCAAGACTTAGGTTAACACCTTTCTGCACTCTTTCCCACTAAATTTCAGAAGTGTTTTTCTTCAGTCCTCTGCACTTAAACTCTTTTTTTTGCTCACTAGCTTAAAAAAAAATAATAAAATTACACATAACTCAATATCTAGACTATGTAACTGTATTAAGCTAAATAAACTTGTCTTTTGGGATAAAGACACTTGCAGTCTCAATCTATAGTATTTTGTTTTGCTTTGGCTTCCACTGCTTGCACATTTTGTGCTGATTAAGAGCATCTGCTCAATGACTACATAATGTAAATGTACATCGCATGGCAAGTAAAGTTGCTAGTAGGCTAAGTGAGTTTAGTAAAATCACTTTCAGTTTGCAATTCCATTCAATGCCTCTTGGAATAAGCATTTGTAAATGTATATGTATGTTTGTGTACCCCCTTGAAGTGGTCTTGTCATGATGGGCTAATGTAGGTGTCATGTGCCCTACAGTAAAGTTACCACATTTCCATTTTCATAAGGAGATCTCAAGTTGACATCTGTTGATTGCCATAGGAGCACAGTTGGCCTTACTCTCTCTTGCTGGACAGGATGGCCCTCTGTCTCTCCACATCACTTTTTATCAGGCTGGTCAGCAAAGGCTTCTATTAGGCAACATAACAGAATTGGCAGTGAGTGTTCTCCTCCAACTGCAGTGAGCTACCCAATAATGTTGGGTTAGCAGCAGGTTGAAAAAAATGCAATATACAATACTGGCCAAATACAACATAACACAGGACATTTAACACCAGAGATTTCATGCACTGGAAGTCTATCCTGGGGTGAAGACGCACAAACTCTATATTCACCTGAGTTCTTCTCCAAATGATGAAAATGCCTTGATATATACAAATAGCACTCAGACCCTAGTGAGGGAAAGTCTTGTCCTTAGAGAGATCTGGAGGGTAGACTAAGAGTGAGCTGTGTTTATATGGGATGAGAAAACTATACCACTCTGCTGAAGTTTACTTGGCCAAAGATTTCTGGTAACTGTACCTGTAGCAGCTCATTGACCTTATCCTGTAGTTTTAGACTAGAATGTTCCAGTGATTGTAGCTCTCCTCCATGAAACTCAACCCATATACCATCATGAATACTGGCTTTTGAACTGTACACTGATAACAAGCTGAGTGGTCTTTAGCCCGGAGGACACAGTGTCCATGATATCCAAAAGAAAAAATTTGAATGTAGATTTGTTGAACCACAGAACACTTCCACTCAGTCCTTTTTAAATGAGCTCAGGCCCAGAGAAGGTGGCAGCATTTCTGGATCCTGTTTATATATGGTTTTTTCTTTGCGTTTTAGAGTTTTAACTTTCATTTGTGGATGCAGCAACGAACTGTTTTCACAGACAGTAGTTTTTAGAAGTGTTCCTGAGCCCATGTAGTGATTTCCACTACAGAATCATGTCTATTTTTAATGCAGTGCTGCCTGAGGGCCCAAAGATCATGGCCAGTAAATACTGGTTTTTGGCCTCGTCCCTTGCATACAGAGATTTCTCCAGATTCTCAAAATCTTTTAATGTAATTATGTACCATAATTGATGAAAAGCAAAAGTTCTTTGCTATTTTACATTGAGAAACATTATTCTTGAATTGTTGCACTATTTGCTTGAGCAGTTTTTCACAGAGTGGTGAACCCCTCCTCATCTTTACTTCTGAAAGACTCAGCCTCTCTTGGATGCTTTTTTATACCAACTCATGTTACTGAACTGTTGCCAATGAACCACCAGGTGTTTTTTTTAGCATTACACAACTTTACCAGCCTTTTCTTGCCCCTGTCCCATTTTTTTTGGAATGTGTTGTTGGTATCAAATTCAACATGCGTATATATTTTTCCAAAAACAATAAAATGTCTCAG